TGGTTCATATAAAATATAATTTTAATCTTAATTTTTTATTTATTTTTGTTTCACTCTCCTGCCTCTTAATCAACTATAAGAACTGGTGCAAGAGCTTCGAATCTTTTTTTGATATGAACCAGAATTTTTCTTGATAAGATACATATTTAGAAACTTCTATCAACACATTCTCAGCTTCTTTTCAGGTACATATCGATAACTACAGTATATGTATCAATTCTTCACTGAAATATTGATGGAAGGTATGAAGTCAGTAATTGTTATCAAAATGGAATTGGGGTTGAAAAGAATGAATGGAACATCCACTAATTATAAACAATTAGCTAATATGGGCAATGCTTGTAGAATATTTCAAGTTGGTATTTGACAAGATGTATTTAATAATTTATTTATTCGATTATTTTGTAGATGTGCAACAACATATATGAATAACTAAACTCTATTCATTAGTTGGAACACTTTTTTCCAAAACTTGGTCCCAACTAACGCGTATCCTGTGTGAATGCTCGCGGAGTACAGTTAAATCAAAAACAATGAATTTTTACTCACATAAATACTTGTCAATAATTTTAATTACACTACACCAGTCATTGGCATATTGACACACAATTCTAACTAGTTTATCTGTAGTACATGACTCATTAAACAAACAGACGTGTGTGAGATTTTTTCGTATTATCTTCGGATAGTCAAAGTAACTCTGGGATACATATATTGAACTGATGTTATAATGTCATCCTTCAACAAAATAAAGAATAATTTTCTCCTGCACTTTTTTCGGATCAGCACATATATCTTGACAGATCTAGGATGTAGGTGAGATTTTCCAGGTTACGTGCCGTCCGAAGCTCCGACCTAATCCTGAAATAGGTGCCTGTCACTGCTGATCGTCACTCTGTTACTTGCTTTTTTTTTTTCACAAGAACTATTCTTTAATCCATATTCTTTCTTTAGCGTTAGAGCACTCTAACAATACACACAGTACAAATCAAAAAACCGTGTTAACTTAAATTTGTACCCAAGAGATTTCAGGTGAGGAGAGGGTTAAAATCCAAACTGAAGTACTTAGAGCGATTCTTAAAAACGTATTGGACAAAGGCAGAATCTAATAATATTAAAAGACTATAATGAGGTTTTGATTTGGTAGGGTACTATTTTAGGGGTCCTTTTTGTAATCGCAGGCTATATTACATATTTTTCAAAATAATTACAATTTTATGCCTTTACTGTTTTATTATTTCTAGATTTTACGGCTTTTATTATAAAAATTTATTCATGAAGGTTTTTCATACAAAACGTGTAGAAATACTTCGAATAAGATGAGTTTTATTTTTGTTTTATATCTAAATTGAAACTTTTATGCTTTTTATTTATAAGTAACAAACTTCTTTATAATTGCAGATAATGTAAAATTTATTATACAAAATAAGTTAATTTATATATGCTTACAAGTTTATGCCTTTACTGTTTTATTATTTCTAGATTTTACGGCTTTATTACAAAAATTTTTATTTATGAATTGTGAAACTTATAAGTTTTATTATACAAATCACATCGAATGAGATGAGGTTTTTGTTTTATTCTAATTGAAACTTTTTATGCTTTTTATTTGAGTAACCGAACTTCTTTATAATTGCAGATAATGTAAAATTTAAGAGAATGCTTCGGATTATAAATTTTTAATTTGTTTCATTTGTTTTATTTTAAAACTTTACACTTTATTAATTTTATTTTATTTTTTTTTTGAATAGCGACTGATTATAAAAATTAATACTATCATACTGATACAGGTAATAAATTTTTAAAATTTACACATATTTTTTTATAATTTGTATTCTCTATTTTGAATTTTTTATTGTAAATATAATGTCCATGGAGTTGATCCTCGCCACGTCGAATTACACCTTCTTCTATTTTGCGCTGTCTCAATATCATTCAACATTGTGAACAGCCTATCCATATTATTGGTTATACAGATAATGTGGTTGAAATTATTTGCAGCAAGTTCTTGCTCGAGGTGATCTGCTATACGTCTTATAGCTTCAACTTTTTGTTTACAGGACTGGCGAATTTCCAGATCAAATACTTCATCGTTTTCACCCATTTCGACCAAGTTATCACCTGATCTTGGACCAGGTGCCTCACCTTCTTTATTTATTTCGATTATATTATTACCAGATTCAACCTGGGGAGCCAGGGTATTAACCTTTGTTAGCATGTGTTCATTAGTGTTCCAAACTAGAAAAGGATAATTCTCTCTCCGTTGGAAGTTTTGATACAAAAGTCGGATGCCTTGTAGATTTTGTAGTTTCGCCATTACTGTTGCACGTTTAACCAGATGCTTACAAATAAGAAAGTGGGAATTAAGAAATGATGGGCAGCTGCAAATCCAACGTGCTGAATCAATAAAATAACGGGTATGATCATAATCATCAATTGGTGTCGCAGCGAGCCGATTCCAATCTATCTTGAAATCTTCGAACCAAGATGGTGTAATGCACCCATGGCGCACTTGATGAAGACGAATTAGTTGGTCAGGAAGGAGGCGCGTACAAATAATCCATACAGCATAATCAAGCCGTGGCCTGTTGAAGCGGTAAAGGTAACAACACTTTACAACTTTCCAATATGACTCTATTAACATATTTGTCTTACTAATTGGGATAATTGTTTGTGATGACCAAGCCCATAGTGTCCACCTTGTGATCTTATACTATTCGGACCACAAGTATGCCCAAAGAAGTATGAGGTCATTGTTGAAGCAGAAATCATATATTTCACGGACTGCATCACTACGAATTTTGTCAGCTGTTAAAAACAGCCCAGCAGCATTAACTGGTATTTTTGGGTGCATGTTGAAATGTTTTTTAATAAGGTTAACAACTTCATACTGTAGTTCTACTAGACATATAATATAGTGCTCAGGGTCTGTACTTCAACTGCTTCACTTGGTCAATACTGGGTTTGTTTTATTTTTTTGCAGCTTCTAATTTTTTCTCTTATTTCCTTCTCAATGTGCCACAGACAAAGTTGCACATTAATATTAGGCCATACTTCCTTTGCAGCATTGATCTGAGCGAAGTCTTTGTCTGTGAAAAAGTGTCGTGGCTGCAATCCTTTATTGCAAAGAGAGCGAAGAAAACCTGTGAGTGCCTTTGTCCTTAGCCCTATTTGAGCGTTATCGGATGCATTTGTGGTGTTCAGCATTAGATATGCAACTGGAAATCCTGCGCCATGTGTGCTACTGATTATGCCATAAAGTTCAAACCGCCCTTTGGCTGTTTTGTATATTGCATCACAATGAATGCTTGACACAGGTAAGAGTTCAATTAATAATGGAGTTATAAATCCAATTGCTGTAACTGATTCATTATTCTACTCATAACAAAACTCGCCCTTATTGTTAGGATTATCTAAAAATCAACGTGTGGAAATAAATGGATCTTCGTCTAGCTTGAAGAATTGCTGATTAAAAGTGGACCACCAGTAATTGATCTGTTTTGAAGTAACCTGCAAAGCATCAAATCTTTGACGAATATGTGTTCTTAGCTGCACTGGATCCATATGAAGGTTATGCATAATTTTACATTTTATTTCTTCTGGTGTTGTAACATCTACAGGCTTTTCATACTGGATATCATGATTAAGCTTTATCTTTGCTTCTTTTGCTGCTATATCTACACCAATAATTAGCTTGCCATGACAATCAAAGCGGTCCATCCTTTTACGATTCGATTCTTTATACTCGCGTTCTAATTCATGGCACTGAGAACACGCAAGGTAGAATTTACTTACTCTGGAATGACGCACTGAGTTAGTGGGCCCAGTTGTAAATCTATGAATACAAAAAAATAATTAAGACTTTTAATAAAAAATATATATATATTACAACACTACGGTTGCTTGTAATTAGAGAGAACTGATTTTTTTAATTTTTATTTTTTAGAGTTTAAATTAAAGATTAAAGACTACTCACGTCCAGTTATACCTGTCACCTTCCTCAATCTCATCTACTATTAACTTTACCAAAAGTTTTGTATCATGTTATGCATTTGCTAGTGTATTATCATCAATTTTAATACGCAAGTTAAAAGAAATGCCTGAGTCTTCTTCAAGGTTAGAATTTTGATTAGAAATATATTCTATAATATTAATAAAGGCGATTTCGTCTGTATTGTTTTCTAATTGACTTTCTGTTCTGATATTAGTGCTTTCAGAGTCATTATCAGATAGAAGAGATCGTTTCTCTGCTTTCTTGTTGGATCTCTTAGTTAAGCAATTGGCGCATGTCTTGTAAGACTTGTTTTCAAAAATAAATGCCTCTGGAAGTAATGAAGTGCGCTTGCACGAAGAACATGATTTACCACTATTCATGTTTTGCTATTAAAATAGTAATCACGTAGTATAAGATATTAACTGAAGTTTTATTTTAATTGTAGGTTTGTTTTTTTTAACTATTAACGACTCGATAACTTTCTATTAGCTTAAAGGTAAAATCGGTCTTTTTATAGACACTTGAAATTATAAGAAATTACTTATATATAATATCTTTTGTTATTTCATTAATGAAAATAAGAATACGTGTATTTCATCCTTTTCACGCGAGTTTAATGCATAGTTGATGGTAAATTATTGAATCGCGGCATTGCGGTTTTGCCGCAATGTGCATATATTATGGTAATTTGACCGGCATAGCTATATGCAGCAATTTGTATAGTTTCCATTTGGTCCCACTAATTTATGCATATATATGCACTATGTCGCCATATTAAAGGTATGCTTGTTCCAAATTGCAGGTAAATAAAAAGTTAGAACATTGATAATATGGCCACATAGTTATAGCATTGCGGCTTTGCCGCAATGCGCATATATCATGGTAATTCAACCGTCAACTGCAATTTGTATAGTTTCCATTTGGTCCCACTAATTTATGCATTATGCTGCCATATGCTTGTTCCAAATAACAGGTAAATAAAAATTGGAACATTGATAATATAGCACGTAAAACATAAAACACATATTGCATATATACAAACAAACGAACGTACGTACGTACACACGTCGAATTTTCACAAAACTCGTGACCACGTGGAATCTCTAACAAATTCCATGCTTACTTACGTGAAAGTCATACCTATATCGAATTTATGTGCATAATGTGCTAAATGCACAAAAGAAGTTTTCAATTTACTATTGATCTCTTTGCTTTATAATACTGTATTGGGATTTCTTGTTCTAAAGCATTGGCATAAGATTGTATTATGCTAAGACAAATTTAGCACGGTAACATTTTTGGCATTTGTATATTTTCATTTTACTTAAAATAAAGATCTACATTAATTTATCTTCTTTTTTTAATGTTCCACGAGATGAGACTTTGAACTAACGTCTACTATGTGTGCATTAACATTGTTAACTATACTCCTTGTTAGTTGATAGTTCTTATATTTGGTTGCCAAGAGAAATCAGATTTTGTGTTCTTTAAATTTATAACTTTTGGACTCAACCTATCAAAATTCCAAGAATAGGGTCCAGTAAGTTATAAATTTAAAGGTCCAAAGACTGATTTTTTTTTCGAGTCATCTACTTTCTTGCTAATATTTAACTTTTTTACGTCTAGAGTTCGATTGCCTTAGGCATAAGAATTAAAATTGGTTGTTCATGTCATATACGAAACAGAACTATTATACTAGAAATCGAGTTGTTAAGAATTATTCGTATTACCTTATGTTGTCGTTTCTAAAGTATAAGTATAAGGCAAATGAATTTGTATCAATAATTCGATTGATACGTTGCTGCGTTCATATAACATTTCTTAACATTTATTATGAATAATCTAGTTGGGTAAGTATAAATAATTATTTATTTGGCGTAAAGTTAACATTTAAATTATTGAATCTAATTTAAGTTTTTATTAATTTAGTAGGTGTTAAAGATTATTTATTAATCGGTGCATTGAATAAACTTTTCCAAGTTTATTATTATTTATTATTACACCAATATCTCAATGAATTTGAATATGCAAAATACCATTCCTGATGAATCGCTAGTACTGTTTCTGATGGATCGATTTATGTACCGTTCCTGATAGGGTTCTTAAAAGACCCGAAGTTGATTCTCATAACGATGCTTAGTTATGATGCAAATACTAAGTCACGACCCATGATTAATTTACAATGTTGGTTTCAACTTGCCTAAGTATCGGTCTTAAAATACTACAGTACCGAATCTACACGAAAAACTTCCATAGGCGTTATTCAAGACACGTAATTTGAGAAGCTAATAATTAATTTAGCAAAAGAATTAACATTAAATTATAGTGTGTTCAACTAAATTAAATATTAGCTCTCTTTGAATTACATGTTTTAAAATAACATTCATGTGCGTTATTTCACGTGAATTTGGTAAGAATATTGTGTTGAAAACGTTATTAAATGATAGTATACTAATTACCATTTTTTTTTTTGAATTTTATGTTATGCATTATCTTATAATCCTATCAGGAATGGTATGTAAATTGATTTTTTTTTCATTCCATCAGGAACAGTACAAACGATCCATCAGGTATTAGTATTTTGCATTGAAAAAAAACCTTAATTAAAATTTTTCTAATTTTATTCTCATTAATTTAGCAGTTAAGGATAGAATATTTATTTCAGCGTTTGAAATAGGTTATTTAAGATCTAAATATTTATCTCATTTATTTCATGCTAATTTATTTAGAACGTTAAATATCTTAGTTCCCATTATGATAATATGCCCTATTTTAATCGGCAATTTTATAATTTGTAAGTATAATTATTTATCTATGTATTTAAAATGAGTTAGAATATAATATATCTTACTGTAATTTATTTTTTCATCGATGTATTTAAAATAACCGGTTCAATTTACACAACACTTTAATTACTCCGGCCTAATTGGTAAGCATATAAGTTATTCGTTGATGTAATCATTTATTAAGGGATCGATTTTGATAAATGATTCGTTTAATTTAAATTTACTTCGCATTATATTTTTTTTATGCAATAAATTAATTTTAAATAATTAAAATTGTTATTATTAGAACTGCTTTTACATACTTATAATCGCAACCATCAATTT